CTGCATGCGCTGAAGCTAAAGAGCTGAAGGAACACGTAAACTGAAGCGCTTTGTTAGCGGGCTAATTCCCTCAACGAAATACTGTACATCCTATATGAGATTAATCAGGTATTTATACAACATAAACATAATATTACAACTAATTCCTGCACAAAATGACGGGAATGCACAAGTGAACTTAAACTAAGTCATGTGCTAGTCAGAATGTGCAACTCCCGTTGTGGATGCGCTCCTTCCGTAAACAACGCGCTGCAACACAGTGTTTAAATTCACAACTAAATATACACATCACAATTAGCCCAGCCCTACAACACATTGTGCATTTAAACCGTAATAGATATAAATATCATATTAAGAGTGTGTGTGAGAGCTTACACCAGCTCATATGCATCTGGAGTTGTTCCGATGAAGAATCCTCCAGGCCGGAGTCTCTCACAGGCGTTTCTCAGCATGGTGTCAGCCTGCTGCTCGGTCTCAAAGGAATAATGATACACAAACTGACAGCTGCACAAGTCGAACTGCAGCTCAGGGTCTCGCAACTTCTCCGACAGCAGCTCCTGAGAAAGACAAGAGTATGTGACCCTGTACCATCAGGTACTGAATAATGACTTTCATGTTTCTCTTTTTTGACAATGAACAGAGTCCCTCTAACAAATGAAACATGGTGTGATTTTTTTGCACTGCTAAAAAAAAAAAACACTGGCTCGTACCCTGCTGCAGTCTGCGGTGATGAACTCGGCAGAGTACGTGCGGTCGTTTGGGTGACCCCTCCGTCTGATGTCATTATAGCGCTGCTGACACTGCTCAATGGACACAGCAGCGATATCTGTGACGTGCAAACATAAATACAGAAGTAAGTGTGATTCCCAATATGAAGACAAATTTTAAAAAAGGATGCAGTTTATACATTTACAAGCAAGTTAGGCCATTTACACCTGCTGTTAACATCAGTAGCTGCGTTTATATGGTTCAATCGGTATGAAATCAATCCGATTGATGAATCCGAACACGGTGTTTACATGAACGATAAATAAAGTAATCGGGTTGATGTGCGCGTTTATATGTCACAAGATTCAAATCGGAATTGATTTTTTGACATGCGCACACTGCACGAATATGCCGCTGTTCGCTCATAACTATTCTCCTCTATTGGTTCTTTTTTTTTTAAACAGCAGACTTAATATTTATCCGTCTCTAATCATGATTTGGAGACTAAGAGCATGAACCGTTTTGCCGTGCTGCTTATATTGATCACGCAGTAAAACCCCGCGCCCAAAACCAATCGTCCATGGATGAGAGTCTGAAACAAGCACTGGTGGGACGTTGTCCTGCTTCACTTCACAGACGCTGAGTGAAATGAGAATTTTTTAATAACGGAACACTCATTTATATTCACTTTATTCAACAGGAAGAACAGCTCGTTCCGTGCGTCATACGTCATTACGCTATTTCAACGTCATTGCACATGCGCAGTCCTTTTAGTTTCGGTTTTCAATCCGATCAAGTGTTTACATGTTCTCTCGATCGGATTACAAAAGGAGTAAACCACCCCTTTCAATCCGATCGAAATTTCAATCGGATCGATTAAGGTGTTTACATGAAGGTTTTTTAGTCCGATTGAGCCGTCAATCCGATTATAAGTGTCCATGTAAACGCAGCTACTGTTGGATGGTCTGATCACAAGTGGATAGAGCTAAATAATAGTGTGAATGCTCTTGATTAGTGGTCGATCAATATATTGGGCGATATTTAGCATTTTTTTAAATTATCCACATTTAGAAAAATTGCAAGCTTCTCCAAATTTTGCGGAGTTTGCTTGATTTTGCATTAAATATTGCACAGAATCGTGGAATTCTGGAGGGACTGAAATGTCATTGCAACGTGTTATTTACTTTTAGCAAACCACTAACATGCAATAATTGTGATAAAAGGCCTTTAAACTTTGTTGGTTAGGTACGGCTTTACCATTTCGAAAAGCAAAAAAAAGGTTTTATTTTATGGCTCACTGAGAAATCTTAATAATGGTGTAAACAGGACCATATAACTTTACAGACACCGGAAAGTATGAAGAGGATTGTGTAGTTACCTGCACAGACCAGTTTATCAATGCGTCCTTTTTTCCATTTGAGAAGATCCCCACCTTTGCCACAGCCCAGATCCAGCACGGTTATATCTCTCCGTCTTTGCCTCACCTTATCCAAGAACTCCCCTGAGAAGACCAACACACAGACCTCAGAACAGTTAATAATTGTCATGCCTGACTAACCCAACCACAAACAAACATGCCACTATATGGCACCAATACGGTGGCATGAAACATGCTCGTTTGAGAGATAAAAGTAAGCCTGTGCTCTACTCACCAATAAGAACGCTCTTCAACCAGTTGTTGAAGTTGCGCATGTGGACTATCCTGCTTTTATTACGCTCTGTCAGGCCACACTCCTGAAGTTTGTTGTAATGTGTGGCCACTTTTTGACTGTGTAATGATTCCTCTGTGACCTGCAAAAATAAAGCATGTATTGAACTGAGCAGGGGAGATCAGTTGGCACACTGAGACGTTATCATTACTACTAGCACTTTTTCTCAGTAACTAGATTCAGAGTTGAATGACCAGTTGCAAAAAATGCTTGTTTTCTTTTCTTCATTTGAATACTTGGTTTTATTGCAATATTGTTTATTTCTAATTTTAGGCTGCCACTTTAAAATCTGGCAATGGACAACAGATGAAAATGAGCCTGTTGGGTAAACTCAGGCGTATTTACAGTGCCTGACTGACTGTTCATTGATGAGCCCTGTCCCTATCAAATAAATGAATATTTTTTCCCATCAAACAATGGTTTGATATTTTGCGTGTTACATTTTTTATTGTTGATGTTTGTCACACTATACTTTATGTTATTTTGCCTTGCCATTAAATGACAGAAAACTAGTTAACGCTGCTGTTTGAGCGTTTCAAATACAATGGCTGAGGGAGTGACGGCAAATGACATCTTCTTCTGATGTAATCAATCGCTCGATATTTTTCCCTCTTTTGTAAAATCATAAAAACGCTATTGTGGATTTTTTTTCTTTCATTATTGGAGCAAATGGGAGTGCAACAATGGTAATTGTTGTAATTTCCGTTCACAGCCATTAAAGTTTACCGAACTATGATGACTTCCGCTTCTGAGGAGATTTGGAAAGGGTCCATTTAACATTTTATACATTTCATGCATTTTGAATACATATATGTTGTGGAAATAATAATAATAATAATAATAATTAAACTTAGTCAGGGTGCGCATATTGAATTTTATGAAGATTAATTAGTCTGTGATTAACAGTACCTGTCAAGACTTAGGAAACATTACAATTTCTTTTATGTTTTTAAACAAAGCCTCTTAAATTTCAAAACTTACAACTGTTTTATGGAGTTCTTGTCTAGTTTAGTTTTATTAGGAAACAACTGAAGGACTTGCAAATTGTTAAACAACAGTACAATCTATTGAAACATATTGTACTTTAGTTCCTGGCTCGTTTTTATTTCTGTCAAAAATATATATCCTTACTGAGCACTACAAACTCAATTTTAATAAACAATAAATATCCAGAGAAAATTCCCAGGAGAAAATATACATGTCTATGGATTCGGAACATTACATATCAATTATGATGGTGCGAGGCTGCGAGCTTACCAGCTTCTTCCTGGGAGAGTGATCTTCATATCCCTCATCACCGTCCCTGTGTCTCTTCAGTGAGGATGATGATGATGAAGTCTGGGAACCATCTAAAGATCTTATGCTGTCCTGATCGTCCTTTGGATCAGCATATTTACTGTCCGCCTCAAACAATCCTGTTCATAGAAAAGCAGTGCATTGGTATTTATGTTATGAAATTTGCATTCGCCTTTTAAAAATAGTAACGGACCACAGGGAGAACAAACAAAAGTCATGATTTCAATTATTTAAATTATTTAAATTGAAAGCAATGGGTATATATGAAGTTTACGTAGATAGACTAATTTAAACGTAAAATTGTAGTGCGTCAGAGTTGAGTTCATTACAACAGCTCATGTCAAGCGTCCGTCTCGGCACGTGTTTCATCTGCAAAGACTAGTTGAATTTAAAATTAGACAAACATTATAAATCATATTAAGAGTTTGTGTGTTCAACGCCATGATTGTGTAACACACAGATCAATGAAGACTGAAACAATGTTGCTGCACTCACTTGAGTTTTGCGCCATCATGTATCCAACAAACAGCGCACTTCCCGATCTTCACTGCAGTATTATATGAGAAAACCAGCGCAGCGCCGCCTATAGGACTGGCGTAAACAACAGCATAGCAGTCGAAATGCTTCAAGTAGGTACTTACTTCTGCGCACTGCGCAGCGGCAGCACTGCATACTGCCAACTTGGAATACTTTTTTAGTACTAGTTAATGGAAGCATGTTATTCTAAACATAACTTAAGTGTAACATCATTATAAATAGACATAGACAGATAGAGTACATACATGGTACGTATGTATACATTTATAACAGGAGGAAATAGTTTTTTTCTCTTTAAATAAATTACGAAAACTTGGTCCCCACATACACATACATATCACCGCATTTTAACGTATTTTCGTTTATTTTGTATTAAAACACGTCCATAAGCACTTGTAAAGACTAATCATTCGCGACGTTGCCGTGCATTCCAGTAGCACCTCAATGCAGTACATAAGATCCACAGGGAGGAGTCGGATCAAGATCCGAGGGGTGGAGATGGGTAGGATTAGGGGTGGGTTTAGGGATTAGGGGTGTGTTTAGGGATCAGGGGGCGGAGATGGGTAGGTTTAGGTATATGTAAGGTGGGAGGAGTTGGATCTGGATCCGACTCCTCCCCGTGGATTTCATGTTCTGCAGTGAGGACCATCTCGTGCATTCTGGGAAATGTAGTTCCAGAGAGAGACATTGCTTCAGGGAGAACAGCTCCACAGCACGACTGTACTACATGTCCCACAACAAACACAGTGCGTGCGAGCACAGTCACTATGTGTAATGTTGCTGCGTCTTGTGGGGAGTTGTGAATGACAGAAGGGACATTAAAGTGTTTGTGGTGGGAAAATCACATCATGCCGGATCTAGTCACTCATGTATGTAACTGTGCATATTTCTAGAGTACCGTTTCTGTATGTTTAGACAGGAGGACGAGTGAAACTTTGATTAGTTTAGTAGATTAGACATTAGACATCCCTTAGCGATGCTAGCTGATTCACGTTTGGTGCCTATCGTAGGTTACTTCACACATGTGAAGTTATACTAAAATGTCTGAGTTTTAAATACGATTTTTAGGAGGTTAGTCTGTGATTATTTCTGAATGTGATTGAGCATCTGCAGATTATGTTTTCTTTAATGTTTTCAGCAGTTCCAGCACCAGTGACCTCATTCTCGATGGGATATTGAAGGTAGAGAAAGTAATCCACGTCAAACTGATATGATACCCGATATTTTTTTTATTAATGTACAGGGTTTGCCTGTTTTCATCCAAAAAATAAATCTCATGCTTCAATTGAATTCAGTCGTCAACACATTTTAATGTGCAGTAGAAAATATGGACAAATGTTTATTAGTATTAATGCACATTATGCATGTAAATATATGCTTCCAATATCAGTGTTACACCAAAATAAATAAATAAAGGTAAATTATGGTAGATACTGAGATGCTCACAGATGCAGTGGCGTCCGAAAGTCTGAAAAAACTAGTTCAAACGCCTCTATTTTAAATCACATTGATGAGTAGTGTCACAGATGTCTTTAATTATATATTTTTTTTATAATTTTAGTAAAAATGTACAATTTATTTCATGTTTCTTTTTTTTTTAATCCTTAAAACATATTTCAGGATTTAAATAAAATAATTATAATGCTATGTGGTCTCAAGCTTTTGCACCCTACTGTATATTGAGCATATTTAGTACTACTGGCCATCTATTTATATTATAAAGGATCCTTTGTCAATCTGTTTTATCTGTCTAGAATCCTTTTTGGATTTTTTTTGTGAGATGTATTTATCCATTGTCTTGCGCCCACAGTCAGGCCCCTGTCAGACTGTCTTCTTGTTTTTATGCTGACAGACCCTTGGGAGAAGAAGCTTGTTTTGCGATGCAGCGGTTTGTGTGTGCTAGTGTCTTCAGGCAGACTGCTGTCCTGCTACAGATCTGTCCTCCGTCCTGTAGCCGGACCGCACAGAGACTGGACCCCCCGACCCAGCAGTGCTGGAAATACCCACGATGGCTCAGCAGCTCCAGTGCGCTCTGCTCTCCGGCTTCTCAGAAGAACACCAGCAGTGATCATCTGGTAAACTCAGCTCCAGTGCAGGAGGATCCAGACCCTCTGCAGGACAAATCCAGCGGCCTCATTCAGAGATTCAAGAAAACCTTTAAGCAGTATGGCAAAGTCATGATCCCCGTGCACCTGTTGACGTCTACAGTGTGGTTCGGTACATTTTATTATGCTGCAATGAAGTAAGTAAATGATGGATCACAGTTATGTTCATTTAGGTTAGAGGCTAAGATGGTGTATCAGAGTTACCCCACAATAATAACCTGTTAGTCAAATCCACTAACTATTATTATTATTATAATAACTATTAAATAAGTATTGTAATAATAACGATTTTAAAAATTACCCCAAAAAACCTAAATAATAAAAACAAAATAATAAATATTACTATTGTAACATTAAGTTATATAATAACAGTAATTGTATTTTACATTACAACTGTAAAATTACAATTCTTATATTTATGGCTGTCTTCATTTCTTTATTTTCAAACGTTAAAGCATCAAACTTTTATTTTGACAGAAAACCGCATGGAGCTTAATGTTTCTTTTTTGTTGTTGATAAGGACTTCTCATTACAAGTATGGGAATATGGTTGGCACATGGTGCGTGCCTAAATGCACGTTAAAGCGACTGAAAAGCAGAGCAGAGATGGAGTTCGTGTGAAGCAGCATTTATTGAGAACCGAGGCGCTTGCGAAAGTGGATCATGAGCTGTTCACTTGTAAATGTACACAGTGCAGCGCTTCACTCTGAATTACACAATGCATATATTTATTTAAATCTCTTTGAGAAACACACTAAGCCATATCGTGATTTCGGTTTTATTTCGATTAACCGTGCAGCCCTAATATGTAGAGAGGATGGGGGCTAATGACCAGTTATACAAAAATTGTATGATCAAATTTATAATATTTTAATTAAAAATACTTTCACGAAAAAATCCATGTACTATGATTTAAATATGTATACATATTTAAATATAAATATATTCTATATTAATATATCGGCCTGCCAGATATATCGGTGTGTTGTTGGTGATATTTCATACTAGTTTATTAAAGTCAAAGAAATATTGAAGAAATATGACCAGTATCCCACAAAGAAGCACAACATAAAGTTAAATAAGGAATGTCTGTCAGATTTCCTCATACATTGTAAAAGTCAGTGAGGTGTTGGTTCTCAGGCGGTAATCTGTTGACCAGGTAATTTTCTTTTTGCCTGGTCATTCTGTCTGTATATGGCGTATGCTGGATTGAGGTAAATGGCACAGTGGAATGTTTACTCTGCAATACATCTGGCTGAATGTGGGTCACCACTGTCTAGACATTTCAGAAATGTGGGAGGTGGTAATGGATGCTTGAATATGGGCTATTTCATTCACTATGACCTCACTCTGCAGAGAAGCTCTGAGTTATCAGTTTGCCTTGTCATATGTTCCCCACTAATCTTCACACTTGCATATTTTAGCTGTTTAAACATTTGATTCTTATGTTAAGTATTGTATTAAGTTTATATCAAGTACTTAAATATCTTTTTTTTAATACTTAAAAAAAAAACAATTGTTGTTTGCTCTAAATACTTCATTCTGTAAATACATATTCTTCATCTCAGTTACCAAATATCATCAAAAGACAAAAAAAAGACCACTTATTAAAGCTGCAGTCAGTAGTTTTTTTGGGGTTAAAAATGATCCAAAATACATATTTGAGAAAATACATAACCAGCCAGTGTTCAAAACTATCTGCTTGCCTTAGCTCGATTCAAAGCGGTAAGCTTGTAATAATGTTTTTAATTCCAGTGGTACTGGTGGATTTCCGCGGGAGATTCGAGCATGTCTTTGCGTCATTACATCACATCTGTACACATAAAGAAGGAGTCTCGGCTAGAAGACTATATTGCGTGTGAGGATGTTGTAGGTGGAGATTTATAGCCTTTTCTCACAGCACTTGATATAATTAAACTTATCAATTTGATGGCGGATCCAGAAAGGTTCAAACGACAATCACCAGTGGCAACAGATTCACCCGCTGTAAAATGCAAAAGACTTCGTTCGGACTTCGGAGTGGCTACAGAAAAAAAAAGAGACTGCAACCGGACCCATGCGAAAACAAGAACACATATCGGAAGGACATTACATGTAGTCACGCAATAATGATGTTGTTAACATTAACAATTTGAGAACAAAGTATAATTTGCACGGTTTTGCGTGATATGATAACTTATAAGCGATTGTTAGATTTAATCAGCGCGATTTACTGCAATGTCAGAACCAGAACAAAGGTGGATGTTTCTTACTAGTTCAGATGACATTTTCCGGTGAAAATTCTTATGTTGGTCATACTTCCAAAAAGAATAATCTGTTATTCCGAATGACAGTATCCACACCGGCGCGGTGACTGACAGCTGCACAGTCTCCTCAAACATTGTGTTCATCCGCGCTGTGCCGTGTCAAGGGTGTTGAAGCACAACTCACGTAAAGTTGATAATTCCACGAATAACTGCAATTGCAGATTTCGAACAGAGAAAAATAGAAAAGAACCACCGCTCATCCGTCAAAAAAGTATTGTAGAGAGGTGCTGCTACTTTAAATCATCATGGAAAATTGTAAAAATACAGCAGCCGCACACTCAAACACTGTGCAAGATCAATTTATTAGCAAGCTTTCGGTCTTGCAACCTTCTTCAGGCAGAACAGAGATGGCGACAAAGAGGAAAAACGCCGGACTGCAGCTTTAAATTGATGTGCTTTTTGAAGCTGTTTCACTATTGTGTTTCACGACAGGTTTTAAAGGAATAGTTCACCCCAAAATTAAAATTGTCATAATTTACTCCTCAAGTTGTTCCAAACCTGTATGAATTTCTCTCTTCTGCTGAACACAAAAGAAAGTCGGTAACCAAATAGTTGATGGTCCCCATTGACTTCCATATACCCATAGCAGAAGAAATAAATTCATTGAATATGAATATTATGAAGAAATATGTTCCACTAAAAAAAGTAAGTTTTAAAGGTATGAATGACACAAGGACAAGTAAATGATGACAGAATTTTTGGGTGAACTATCCCTTTAAGAATTTTTTCTTTTCGTTTCCTAATGATGGTCTTAAAAAGATATTTCACCCAGAAATGAAAAGTGTCATAATTCACTCGCCCTTGTGTCATTCATGCCTGTAAAACGTACTTTTTTTCCGTGAAACATACAAGAATTTTCTTTTTAGAAATGTCTTTTTTGTTATTGTTTTTTTTTTTTTTTCTCCATACAATGGAAGTCAATGGTCAGCAATGTTCCACAGAAGAAAGTCATACAAGTTTGGAAGGACATAAGGGTGGATGAATAACAGAATATACATTTTTGGGTGAATTGTCCTTTTAAGAAAATTAAGACTTGATTTAAAAAAAAAAGAAAGAATAATATGCTTGCTTTCTCTCTTTGTTTGTTTGTTTAGAGGAGTGAATTTGGTACCATTTCTTGAGTATGTTGGGTTTCCTGACAAGCTTGTGAAACTCCTGGAGAACTCTCAGAGTGGCTATGCACTGACGGCATATGCCATGTACAAGGTGGGATAAGTTATTTTTTTTATAAATAAATTGTTTTTAATAAAATGATTTACTAATAATTTAATTGTTGATTTTTCTGATTTACAAATTAGAATAAAATAAATGTGTTGCAAACTTTACCTTCAGCTATAGAACTTCAAGAGTGATTAATATTACTGAGATGCAAGCAAAATTAAGACAATTTAGGTTCAGTTTTCCTGGACAATTTGTATCTCATAAAATTGAATAAATAAAATGCATTTTCAGACAGAATCTTTTCACCTACACGACAGCTCATCTGAATTGAATGAATTAGAATGTCATTGACTTCAAACCTTGTGAGAGTCACTCACTACATGAACAAACTTCTTTTCAGTTCAAGTTAATGTGACGCTGGTTTAATTTTCTTGATCTCCTGAAGATCACCACACCTGCGAGGTACACTGCGACTCTAGGAGGAACGTCACTGTCCGTGAAGTACCTGAGGAAGCACGGCTACATGTCCACTCCTCCGCCCGTGAAGGAATACCTCCAGGAGAAGATGGAGGAGACCAAAGAGAGGATCTCTGGGAAAATGGAAGAGACCAAGGATCGTTTATCCGAGAGAATGGAGGAAACGAAAGACAAGTTCACTGAAAAACTTCAAGAAACCAAAGACAAAGTGTCTTTCCGAAAGAAAAAGGAATAGGTTTATATACATTTACGAAAGGTCATGAAGTGACTTTATCTTCCCATAATGCCACGAAGATTCACGTTATTTAACAATAATACACTTTAAGGAAAGCAACCTGTCTTTAGTATTTTTAAAATATAATGTAGGTTGTATGCTCTACACTCACTGTTCACGTAATAGCCTAAACTATAACAAAAAATGTGGTATTATAATTCATAAATTGACCATAGATTTTAAATATAAAATATTACAGCACAAAAGTCTACTGAAAGGCATTGGACTTAACTTGAAATACCTTTTAACAGATGAGAGTGTGTTTTCTAAAGAGAACAGCAGGTGTAATGTGCCCAATATTATATATTTATTCCTTTGTTCCCTTACAAATAGCACTGCCTCTTTCAATTCTCGCATATGTTAAATAATGTTTAAATTATGGATTGAAAAGAGTACTGACGTGTCACACAAGTTACTGAGAATGAAATGGTCATGTTGTAAAATCTTGAAAATTGATTGTAACTTTAGTTATTATGCAAAGTAGTGTTTGTCAGAAAGTTGTAAATGTACATTAAGATGTAACACAACTTGTACCGTTGCTTATAATGCAGGGGGAAAAAATCATAAATTGTCCTGACAGTCATTCTGCAAATCATCAACAGCCTTTACGTCCTGTTTCAAATTCAGTATTCCTGCCATATTCATGTTTAATTTATGCAACCTAATTTCCAGTTGGTAAAGTCACATATTTTTCAAAGCCCTGGTTTTGTTTTAAATGAAGGTTGATAATTGAACTGATTATTCCACAGCAAATGTCTCTGCTGGTGAAGCATTTGGATTGTTTGATGGGACGTTGAGGCCTTTTTGTCTGTTGAATGATGTCCCACCTGGCTGTCAACAGTAACAATAAACAATAGTGTTTTGATGTGTGTATTAAACATTGAGTTATTTTTTTTTTTTACATGCACATTGAACACATCACTTCAAAGAACATTTATGACTCATGATGATTCATGATCACCAGTGAAATTAAAATATAAAGGTGCAGTATTGTATATATATATATATACTGACAGTTTTCAGCGTGAATACTTAGTTAATTACCAAGTATTAAGGCACAACTGGTCATGGGATCTCAAGAAGATGGACCCCATGAGGAGGAAGCACATTTTTTCTAGGCTAGTCGTCATCTCAGCATGTTGGGTTTTTTTTTTTTTGTCAGAAGAAGGCCTACAGTTCATTTCTTTTGACTTGTGCTGCCTTCACATGGTATCGAAATGATCGTAAACCCTATAGGCCTACAGTTCCTAGGACATGAACGCCCTCGTCAAATGCGAATGCGATGAACTCGTAATCACGACTAAAGAAGTGGGAAGTAGGAATTTTCCGACAGCACGTGAAGGCAGCATTGGTTGGACCAACTAACTTTTTTTTTAAATTCTTAAATTTAGAAAATGTATGTGAAACTGGTAAATTCACAAAAAAAAAAAAAAAATTAAGTGTAAAATTGTTTCACCAAATTAACCACAAAAAAAGGTAATCTTTTAAGTATATTGTGAAACAAATCTGATATGATATAGGCTATTTAAACGTAGATAAGTTTAAACGTAAACTGCAAACTTTGGCAAAAAATTTTTTGCAAACTAGGGTAGCTTGAGTGTTTAAACTTGAGTTTAAAATAATGTGTTTGCTTGCTGAATCATTTTTATTGGGGAAAGTGTCTTTTTTCACCTTTAAAGGAAAGTTTCACATCGCCTTCAGGAGCATAACAGAATGACACAAAACACAAAAGAGACTCATTCTGGTTCTTTTCCTCAACTTTAATTGCTCTCTCTAGCCATTTGATGACAGCGAAAGAACAAGCGTGGAATCGTTTCATGAGGGACTACAACAGTATCTTTGAGCAATAATTTCATTGTTTTGTTTTTTTCCCCGTGTTTATTTTTTATGAATTTTTTTCAATCATTTTTAGTCACCTTTTTCCTGTAAAAGTATTGCAATTACCAGACCTCAAACTGAAAACCGCTGACATCACAATTAAATAGAACAATAAAAATAAAAAAGCGTAAGGACAGCAGTGCCTCGCTCACTGAACTGTTTTCCTGTTAAAAAAAAAAAAAAGGAAAAAAGTTTGTAGTCCAAAATTTCATAGTCCTGTGATCTCGCTCAAGGCCAATGATGAACAGTGCTGTGGATTCGTCGGAGTTCCAGATCCATGGAACGAGATGCTGAAGTCAGCCAGACAGCCACGCGTCAAAGTCGTCAGTCAGTCATTCACTCGTTTATTCGTTCATTCAAGCGGGTACAGGGAATAATTACCGAGTGTTCTGGAGAGGCGGATCCTTTTGGTGCGGAGCGAGACTGCTATGCCGAGGAAAATGACAACATGAACATGCAGTAACAATCAGCTATGGGCTGGATTCTCATGTATGCATTGATTTGATGCTCTTTTATATACCACACAACTCGATTATGTGCATTTAAAAAAAAGAACAAAATGTTAACCGTTTCCCACGGATGTGTCACCGATCCAATAAAGCCTCACCCTGAGCTTCTATTTGATATGAACCACTAAACCATCTCTCGGGCTGGAGAAAAGGCCTCGTGGGAGCCCAAAAGTCGGCAGTCGGTTCCGTTCGTTTCGATAACTACGGTACAATTACGTCATGCCGAGTTATTTTCTGCGATCGGTCGAGCGTGGTTAATACACGTCCAAACAGCTATAGCAGTCACAAAATAAATTTCAATAAATAAAATGACAAGCGCTGGCATTTATAATTCTTTCTCTGGAAGTTACAAAAGCAGCAGCTAGTTATCCTTTATATAACTGCCTCAGAATATTTTAATCACATAACAGATTTGCATTTACTGTATAGGAAAAAAATATAAGAAGTCTTTTTGTATTTATGTGACCACACTGTAGCATTTCTCTTTGCAAACATTACTCTGTTTTACAAAAAAGACAAAGCACAATTGAAGGCATTCACAAAACTTGATGCCACCGTGTTAAAGTTTTCTTTTTAATATTATCTATACATTATATTACAGTATTAACAATGCTTTCTTGTGGTTTTCTACCCATTGGGTAGGATATGTGCATAATATATTCAAGTTATATACAGCACCGTACAAATAAACAGAGTCCGACTACTGAAAGAAGCACCATAGGAAGTGAGGCACAACAAAGGTGGGGACTTTTGAGTGCAAGTGGGTTTCTATGTCTGCTTAAACATGACTGTTAGGCACCGAATTTGCTCATGTACATAGTAACATGCAAACCTCTCGGCTGCAAATGTAAAAAATACATTTGGATTTGTTTTCCTAGCACGACTATGACAGCGGAAATGCACTAATGTTAACGAAGAAAACAAAAAAGGAGCACAAACATCTATGTCTTGGTTGGTAAGCAAATATAAAGTAATGGGGAAGCGGACATAGGCCTACATACCGAACGAACAACAGCAGCAGTAGCAGTAGCAGCGCATAGCAGCAGCAGCAATACAGTACGAACTCAAACTGCGTGGTCAGAATGAGTGACAGAAGCAGAGCCTATGACAGGAGGCCGTTTCGGAGCCAAAGCGGATGGGTGATAGTAGAATCTTGCTATTTAAGGGGTAAGAAGGTTGTATAAAAGCCTATTTTTGACTTTGACTAAATATCATTTCAAACTGGTCACTTTAATAAATAGCTAGTTAATAAATAGGTTATCTATGGTACTTTTTTAAGGGAAGGCCAAAGACTGATGGTTTACAAAGCTCAGATGTGATCAAAAACACAATCAACATGTCTGAAAGCATTCCAAATGTGTGCCATGTGGTGATGATTGAATACAACTTCAAATAAAGAAAGAAAGAAGCGGGATGTACCTCGTCATGATTGGTACACTTTTTGTTTGGATGAAAATCTCAGAACAGATAAAAGAATAAATACTGGTGTTGAATAAACAGACAAAGTGTGTTCCCGTGCTGCCTTGGAATAAAACGGCATTCCAGGAGATGAAAATAAGGGATAAAATATGAGATCCATATATGATTGTGAACTAAAGTATAGTATGGATAACTGAAAAAAAAAAACTATACGCATGCTTTTTATAGTGGAAAACAAACAGTATGACACACTCATTCAGAAAGGGACAGGATGTGCATAAGACTACAGTTCCCATGATTCCCTTCCATTGGACCCCATGACAATGCTGAAGTGACGTAAGTTTAAAGTGCTACTCGACAGAATGAAAGTGGCGTATGTGTCGTGACTTCCATCTGCAGATATCCATGCCAATATCTCTCACTTGGTCAGTGGAAAAAGTGAACTGGAATTTGAACAACCCTTTTTCTTTAAATAAGTGCCATGATGCAGTTCATTTGTAGAGATTTTAGGCTGGATCAGAGTTCTACATCTCCATTTCAGGAAAACGAAAAACATAAAAAGGAAGGAAATAATTCCCAGGAACAATCAAAGGCCTGTGACAGATTGACATATAAAAACTAACTAAGGGTTGCTGTTTCTACTCTTTAGAGAATAAGTGCAACACAAAGACTTTAGTTGTTGTTGTTGTTGTAAGTCACATCCCCAAGATTTAAGATTTTATCATGGCACTCAATTTGGATTTTGATTGATTATGAACAGTTTTTGTGCACAAGTCCTGGAAATGCACACAAACGAATATAACATTTCTCAATCCTATGACCTATGTGGTCTCTCACGCAAACAATCTGTGCCAACACGCGTGTTCTTTAAATACATGAAAGCATACAAAACCGAACAAAAAAAAGAGATTTAGCCAAGGAGCCCAAACATCCATACAAGGCCCCGAAGTTCTAGCAAAAACTAAACAAAAAAAATACAAAAAAATAAACTTTGTAAGCTTGGTTCCGCAATATTCAATTCAAATTGTGCAAGGGGAGTGGTCTAACAGTGAAGCCACTCCCCTTTAGGTCCAGGAGGAAGTACCAGAGAGCACAGATGATGGCACGCACTCTCTACGGCACTCTCCATGCCTCCTAGTCACACGGGTTTGTCTCGCCGGCTATCCTTAACCTTGACAAACAGGGTTGTGCTTGCGCCAGGCTGGGGGGAGCGACTGGCTGTCCTCTGGTTGGAGGGTGGTGCATTATTGCTGTGCTGGTGCAGAAAGGAGGCGGAGCCTGGGCACGTCTGACCCATCACCTCGCTATAGGTGGGCGGCGGCCCCTCCACGTGCGAGTTCGAGGCACTTTTGCCAGAGTTGCTGCTTGGGGGCCGTGGCCCGCCTCCGTGCACATAAACGTCTATCAGGTCGCTGTCGAAAATGGTCCGGTTGGGGGGCGCGCGAACGGATGCACGGCTGAGCTCGAGCTGCTGCTCGGGGTCTCTGAGCTGCAGGGTACAGGGGCCCTTGTAGGGTGGCAGCTCCTCGCCATCTGACAGGCAGATGGTGGGCGGCAAGTGGATGTCCTGCTGCAGGTATGGGTAGGTGGGCTGGAAGCGGCTGAATCGGTCCCTTTGCATAAATGAAGGTGGGTTGAAGCGCTCTCCGCTCCGTGGCCCATACATCACCTGAACACAGATAAGAATATTCATTAAACCTTTAGAATTTAACCTAAGAATAAAAAAAAGTAAAACATTTTTGTAAACATGCAGCCAGAATAATTACACAAAAAATTAACTATACAATCAATATACTATACTTGTCAAAAGGGTTTGTATGATATTTTTTTTTTAAAGAAGTCTCTTTTGCTCACCAATGCTTAATTTATTTGATAAAAAATACAGTAAAAACAGTAATATTATGAAATATGATTACTACTTAAAATGTTTCTTTTCTATTTTAATATGTTTTAAAATGTAATTTATTCCTGTGATGGCAAAGCTGAATTTTCAGCTGCCATTCTGTCTCCAGTGTCACATGATCCTTCGGAAATCATTCTAATACACTGATTTGGTGCTCAAGAACCATGTCTTATTATCATGAATGCTAAAAACAGTTGTGCTGCTTAATATTGATAGATTTTTTTTTTTTTTTTCAGGATTCTTTAATGAACGGAAAGTTCAAAAGAACAGCATTTATTTGAAATGGAAATCTTTTGTAATATGTCTTTACTGTCACTTTTAATTAATTTAACGCATCCTTGCTGAATTAAAGTATTAATTTATTTTTAAAAACCTTACTGACCCCCAAACTTTTGATCAGTAGTGTATATTTAGTTATATAAAAAAAAAATCTTGTAGGTAAAAACAGATCTTTATTATTATGCAGTGTTATACTCTTGTATATAAATAAAAGAATACTAATGTGTTTATTTAGTGGAAAATATAGTAATTTTAAAGCAAATAGATAAATATTGAAATAGATCAACTGTCTTTGAAAGGGTTAACAATATTGAGCTTTTTGAGCTATTGGCTCTTAGCTATGTTGCCCAGCCCTAAACATGACAATTAAACATTAGAGTAATAAATAACATTATGCAGACAGGATGAATAATAGGTCAGCTGACTAACCTCAGTGGCTCCTTGTTGCGTCACCAAACTGTCTGTTGGCCATGCACAGCCGTCCTAGTATGATGCAGAAGAGAGAGGACCGGTGTGAGTCATGCATTAAAGACAAAACATTAAAAACAACTTCAATTGATGCATTAGAGTTTTGAGTTTGGGTAGAAAACCAAATTTGCTCCAGGCATCAGAATACTTGATCTAAATGCACATACAGTAAATATGAGAATACATTAATATATCATGTATTATTAATTCAGGGCTGCTGGTAAATTGTGTGGCCTCTAAGAATGCAGCTGTAGAAAATGGGCTGTTCTCTAAATTTATGAGCTTGTTTCTAAATTTAAGAGCTCGGTTCCTTTCATGCTCTGCAATGCATCTGTTGCTAAATCACATCTTCACCTTCTTCCTATCTTTTTACGACTCTCTCTCATGCTAGGAGGTGAAATGGACTGCCGTCTCTAGACGAGCTTGTCTTGGTGTTCTCAACTACAAGACGTAAATCAACATAAAGAACAACCAGGGATGTGCAGAACTACGTAATTCCAAAATCGACTAGTCTGTGGGTTGCCTGAACGACTAGTTAGACTAATAGAAACCCTATATAAATGGGTTGGTTTAGCATTGTGTCCACTGTAAGAAATATGGATAACTGCAACTTTTTCCTCACAGAAAACAGGCCTGTGGATTATAATGCACAGTAAAAAAATATTAAACGCACCAGTCAACTGACTAATGGAGCCAGTCGACCATCATGACCCATCACTAGGAACTGCGTTATGCATTTGTGCAGGTGTACCGACACAAAGACCCTGAAGCTGGCACGCACATTGCCGAGTCCCATATGAACACGGTCACAAAGTCACACACATGGTGATCAAACAAAAGAACAGGAACTCTACACCCACTCAGAGCTCACACAGACAGGACACACATGGCGACTGGAGAATCAAACGAACACCCACTCAGAATGAAAGTCACACGCACACTTACCGGCTGCATGCCCTCCTCTCGTCTTCTGGCCTGGCTGTGGCGTGTGAGGAAGGCCCAGGCCGACAGCCGATAGTGGTTCAGCAAACAGATGATCACAACTACCATTACAGTCATCACCACAATTATGATTATTATCTGAACAAACTCCAGTTCAGCTGCAAGACAAGAAAACAGAGAGAAAATTATTTGCATATTTCACACAATTAAAAAAGAAAAGATTTTTACATTTTCAATAGAAAATGAGTGGTGTTTTCCTGCGCAAAACTCCCTGCTAGGGTGTCGTGGGTGGTTGCCAGGACAATGCTATGCAGTTGCTAAGATCGTAATTGTCTGCTTAAAAAAAAAGAAATGCACAAAACCTCAAAAATGGCAGGAGATATTATTCAAACTGTGCAAGACAAATTAGGCATTACACTTTAGGGGTTATAGTTCATTCAAAATAGTATTAATGATGACTCTTAATGATTTATAAGCTTTCAGGAACATCCGAGAGGCAGCGTAAAGATAGACAGTTGAATATGGATGGATGGATACAAGTAATGACACGGCAAGCACAACATGTTCTTCATTCTTACCACCAGGGGGCAATAAAATTAACACTTCTGAGAGTATTGAGATTGGGTGTGGGGAACCGACTCAAAAAGTGACGCAACAGACCAATCCACAAAAATGTGATAACATGACATTTCAAATGGCTTTTATGACCTACATCAAGTCAAGAAGGGAGAAAAAGAGAAAGAGATTTTTGGGTCATTTTTATTATTTATAGGACAGTTCAGAGGATATGATGGGGATATGATGTGAGCTACGGTAGATTTTAATTTGCACTGCCCACATGAGCAACACAGCTCAATATGTCAGAGCATGTGCACTTACTGCTAGGCCAAAGCTCTAATTTTATGAACTGATGATTATGTCATGGGTAGACCTCACACAGTCAAAGGACAGAATTAGTATTTTATGTTTCTCGTCATACTTCCTCTTCACAGAGGTGCATGTATTGGGAATCCTTTGAAAGGAATGCCTGAATGAAAATGACAGTCTCCTCTTAACATCCTGTTTTAGACTTCTCCAGCAAATTGCACTAGTGTAAAAAAGGGAGCAGAAATATTGTTACAAACAGGGTAGACCTCTCTTTCAACCTCCTGCTGACCCCTTGAACACAGCCCACCCTGCCGACACACATTTCACACACAGATGGGCCCAGTCAATACAGACTTGTTCTCCAGTCACATGAAAATCATGTAGAAATGTGCCACACGTATATTCAGAGAAATCTTGTTATCCCTACTGCCCACTGAGGAACTCCCACAATTCACTCTGACACATTAAGGTTTATGTTTTTAGACAATGGAAAAACTGCTGCAAAGCTGCGGTACTGAAGTAAACCCTTACACAAACAGCATTAGCTGTCTAACACAATCTACACTGATGTTTAGGGTAATCATTTTCAAACCTACGACTATGACATCAGCACCGCACAGTGGACTTTGGTTTACGCAGGAAAGAAGATCTGAATGAAATGGGTGCTTTGATGGCTCTCTCCAAGAAGCTACAAACTCAAATTTAAAGTTAGCATGCAATGAAAACTCACCTTATCTATTTTTCAAACGCCTTTTATAGATCTTATTGTGAACAATTTGTCCACATATATTTAATGTTTAATCCAAATGTCACAGCTGGATCTTCCGGTGAAAACATCAGACTTCTCGTGGTGACATATGCAGGACTTCTCCAATAATTTAGTTTGCTTAAACCCGCCTCTGCAAGCTCACGTTCATCTGCCTCCACTTTTGATTGCAATGTCCACATCTCAAAATCCAGTCAACAACCAATGCATAAAACCAAGTCCCTGCCCTACATTTTTTTCTCTTTTGATAATCCATTACATGCATTCAAATGTAACAGAAAATAACGTGGAAGAAAATATCTGCTTCTTTCATTGCGATTTAAAAGAAAATAAAGAAAATAAATTAAATTAAATCAATCTCAATAAACTACTTGTCAGTTGTTGGACGACTAGTCATCCATCCTGAGATGTCCAGCTAATAGTTTCTATAGGTGAGCTGTTTCAAAATTGAGTTACTAACATTTCCATCATGACCACTTTCTCTCTAGCAGAAAGGCCGTTCCCAGGATGCAGTTGGGCCATGTAGTGGCATTGTTAAATAAGCTGCATTGGCGCTGGCTCTTTGCCATGACTCCTCTGGAGAGAGTGCTTGCAAGACAAGACCCCATCTGTTGAGGGCTTGGAGGAGAGAACCAGAGACCAGACACATCCCAGGAGTTAACCCAACATAGGAGATAAAACGGCCCAAATCTGCTGCCCATAACCGGATTACGGCCTGGACCAGATCCAAGAGACAGACAACTGGTGGTAGATTGGGGGTGGGGCAAACATGTTGTAACTGACACACCTCTGAGATATTAAGTTTGTAATCTCTGCCAACCTACAGTACCAGGCACAGCTCTAGCACCATTCCCCCATCCAGGACCTCCCGCTGCTGCTGTAACACAATGTAACAGTTTTCTCTAAATTGACAGGCTAATCTCATCAGAGTGGCCTGTTCGGACCCAAACAACCCAATGTGCAAACAACAGATGATGGCATCTAATATGGTCAAAATCGACTGTAGTCAGGGTGGACACTATGTTTTGAAAACAATGCTGTAAGTACAGATGTACAGTCCAGTCAATAGGTTGTATGTCCTTTGGTCATGTCTAATTTTCAGAACTGAAATTTTTTGCTCACTCAAATTTGTTTTGCAAAGATACCTTTTTCAATGTTTTGCCAGCTAAACAATAGACACCTGTGTAAACTGTACATCCCTCACAGTCCTGCTTTAATTTGTCAAATTAAACATGGTCTAACCTTACTAGGGTCTAGGGCTGTCAAAATTGCTCAAAAATGACGTTCGAATATTCCCTCTAAAAAAAACATATATTCGAACTATTCGAATATCTGGTTGCGCATTTTGTCAATGACGCGCATTACGTCAATAACAGGACAAATTAATACAAAGAGACACAACTACTTGTATAGGTAGTTTATTTAAGTTTAAACATATTTGGCAACGTATTAACTTACACAAAAACAAGTTAATCAACTAATGGCCAAGACCGCAGACCTTACTCTTGCTCGCACTCGCAGGCACTCTTTCTCTCTCGCTCTCTCTCTCTCCCTCACGCTCTCTGCGCATAACGGTTTAAATGAACAACAATAAACGAATGTTGAGTGCTGATCAAGAGTTTTGTGCAAGCAATTTAAGGTCGCAACTCTTGTCCTAAATAAAGCAGGCTTCATTCAGTGATTGAAACAAATATTATTAACATTAATTGAAGTTTTACAGTATATTGAACCGACATTGAACGCTCCGAGCGAGCTGTGCTGTGGTAAACTGCTGCTATAATGGCTATTTCGAGGGCTCTGGCCACGCCCCCTTGGCGGGCTCTGACATGTATGATGTAATGCTAGCTCATTGGCGCACACGTTGGAGGCGCCCGCGCCATTGGATGTGCAGTTGCCGCAGCACAGCCAATGAGTGAGCCAGACACTCACTGTGCTATCTGTGCAGCTGGAAAATGCGTTTTACATTTTAAGCTTCAGAATTTTGCCACTCGCAAAGTAGACAGCCGCGCCTTTGCTACCGCGGGCGTATTTTTCCACATGATTCGAATATTAGTTTTCACCTTCGAATTTCTGTTTTTTAAAACTATTCAAATATATATTCGAATTTAGAATATTCGTTGACAGCCCTACTAGGGTCCATTAAAAGCAGGTGTGTAATGAGTGTGTCGGGTCCTTATTGGTTGTAGCCAAATTAGCTACTACTCAGATAACAATGCAACTAAATTTAATGTGACTTCAATGTGAGTCATCAGCATAGTTTATTTTGTATCTCTTTGCCAAGAGTGCAAGTTACGTAAACTTGTAATCCACATAAAATCATATTGCTTGAGCTTCATTTAACCTTCCCTGTGCTAATCGGAGAGAGTCTAAGTCAGACGTGACGGCATCCCGTAAGATCTGTTAATGTGTTATGATTACAGACACAAACCTCAGACAGAGCAGACACAACAAACCGTCGTCAGCCTGTTTGCGACAGGCCAGAAATGTAAACAGGCTGTGATAATGTGGCAACAACTGCACAACAGCAAGCCTTAGAGCGAGGGAGAGAGGCAGCTGGGCTAATTCGGGTTAGCCTTATGTGGACTCTCTGAGATTAGACGGCTCAATCCTCTTACCACTACGTATGCTGCTCCATTGTGTTGTTATAGCTAAGAGGAGATATGCACTAACACCTGTCACAGAGCCTCTAACAGACTCTTAGGTAAACTGGAACAGTCGTCACCTCGTCTCTAAGGTCGGAAAAAGACCTGGCTGCACAGAAGTGTGCTAGAAGCTGTGAGACTGCTCTGTTCTGTGGAGGCCATTCCATTTCTGAGCTGAAGGAAATGGAGGAGGCATTACATAAGCCTATCTGAAACTTTTTCCCCCTTTCTCGCTCTCTTTTTTATACTGTGCTCACAAGCTGCAAAGACAACCAAGTCTGGCCTCCAGATCTATATTTCATGAAGCCATTTCCTGTTTCCTCCTCTCCGCAGTTTCATAACAGAAGGAAAACAGCTGTGCTCTCACGATCTGGGAGTAAAGAAATGGAGAGGGTGGAGGAGGAGGGGGAGAGGGAGGCTGGAGAATGGGGACTGCTACTCACTGCCAGCCATCTGTGCTCCGTCTCCAAATGTCTCCCCGGTACAGTACTATTCTCATGGAGTCGGGCACAGTATGTGGAGATCATGTCATGAGTGATCCAACAGTTGAACTCACAGCAGTGAGGGAAAGTTCTTAGACTGGGCTTTGAATTCCTACCAAAGCACACATTACACAACAGATTTCCACGGGAAAGATTGTGTGTGCGCGGTGAACGACTAATTTCCAAGTGACTTCATCGACATGGCAAGACAGCGAAGATGAGAGAAAAACATTGAAAGTTTCCTTGCGTCCTCTCTAGTTTGGGCCAGCTTGTGGTGCAGTGAGTACAAACACCACTAAAAGTGAGCATCCCCAGTAGATCCCATGCACAAACTGGACATGCATAAAGCCATCAGCCACCCATTTGGGCACTTATGACTGCTGGTTGTACCGGTAACAGGA